AGGACCTCCCTTAATAAACATTTTAAGATAGCTTATTGCGAAGAAATTGTTATTATACAGATTCTATTGTAAACCATGTGCAAATTTCATAGGTATAAGACAGATGTAAAGATATTAACAATAATTATACAGATTATAAAGTTTTTCACATTCCATTTTTCAAATAAGTTTCAAGGTAACATTTATTTTTATAAAAATTCCATAGTATCAGATATATTCTTAAACGAAACACGTGTAAGTTCGAACAAGATTTCTGTCAAAATGAAGAAAAAATGTCTTTAAAAAATTGCTAAATGAAATAATAAATAATTATCAGTACAGTCAGTTCTATTTTAACCAAGATGTTTCGTCGTTTATGTGTTAATCAATAATTAGTTAGATCAATATTGAGGCGATTAGAGTAGTTTTCTACGTTTTTATATAGAGTCTGAAGACCGTATCTATAACCACGAAAACGTAGAAACAGACTTTATAAATAACTCGGGACGCACTTATATATTCTGTATGTATAAATAAGTTGGTATACAATGCAGTTACAAAGCATGAAATTACAATATTCATTACCGCGCTCGATTTACTTGAAAGAACTGAATACCAAATCAAATTTATTATCGAGTGTCTCTTGTTAGACTGTTAACAAATGAATTTAATACGTCTTTTAACTTCTGAATATGAATGTATGTATGAATGTGTGGAACAAAGAAATTGTTATAAAAGCTTTCGTTAACTGTACGTGGACAGATATTTTCCCAGGAAAGAATTTTCATATCCAATTATGGTGTACAATTTTTCTTAATGTTTGTATTCATTTGCAGAATTAATTAGAAGGAATTCGTTGTTAAGCGAGTAATGCTTTATTAATATAGAAATGTAGTAAAAGTATATTGGTTTTTCCATGGATTATGGAAGCATACTTGAGCGAGCGCAAGGAAAAAGCATTAATTAATTAATGTTTCGTTGGTTATTAAAGCTGTACATACACCTCCATTAAATCTTATTCTTTAATTGTCGGGCCGCTTGGATTTTACGTGTGTAGCGGATGACGTTCATCCAGGACATTACTTTCAGCGGAAAATAGCGTACTTCCTTTGCGCACTGTTCTGTAATTTATATTCATAAACTTTCATATGAACATACGTATAATTTTCATATCGGAACTAGGCAATATTATCGTTACGAACACTATTTTGCAGAGTTTAGTATAATACATTTATTTTAGTGTACGTATATTTGTTTCAAATCTCAATAAATGAAATAAATAAAAATGCAATATTTGAGTGGAAATACGCAACAACTAACACACTTACTAAATTTTATACTTTTGATTGGAGTTAACTGCACTGAAAACGTTCTAACTCATTCGACATAAATTACGTATTACGCAGAAAAAGAACTTTATTGATCGACTTTAAGGTCGTTTAATTATCAGAGTATAATAATTTTGTAACAGTATTAAATGAGCGTAACAGGGTGCTACAATTTGATACTGAATCGTGTAATTAAATGTACAAGTAGTATTAAACTAAACAATTCAATAATATATGCTACTTGTATGAATTATTTTCATAGTGACAAACGATAACTAAACAACGAATAATGAGTCGAGTATAATTTACAGGCAACGTAGCATAATTCTATTGAGGGAATTCAGCATTTTTCTTCATATCGTACATAATACACCTTTGCTTTATTGTTCACCAGGATTTCATTTCACTCGACTCACGTTTATACGGTTTTTCAAACGCATTGTATTCATAGTAATACGATTTTCCGATACGTGAAGAAATGATTTTGTGTCAATAGGAAGAAAACGATTTGCAAGAAAAAATATACTATTTCTTAAATTGCTTTTTGAATAGTTAGTAACAATTTAAAGTTATAATTTATTGTAAATAAATTTTTATACGATTTTATCTAGCCTGGTTACACATCTATCGTGTACCAATCGAAAGTATCTGGACAATTTATTATTGGTGGCATTACATTTAATTCATAAATAATTGAAAATTGATACAAATGTAAAAATACTATGTTATAAAATAGCGGTTAAAAAGTGGTATATAATTTAGTCTATAACTTTTCACTCTCATTGAAGAAATATTTGATTCAATTATCGATAAAGTGTAGTCTTTAAAAATGTGAAAAATATAATGCAGAAAGTTGTAATTGTCGATTTTGTGACTATTTTCATACGATTGCAATTAGGAAAGTGTTCAAATTAAACATCGGTGTATATGTCTGTAACAAATATACAATTGTAGCAGATTTCATACACATCCGACAGAGTTGAGTAGACGAAATGTAAAACAATAGAAGGATTAAAAGAATTCAAGAATATCTATATATTATTATCAACTCAATAAAATTATTAATACTAAACCAACCGAGCACCAGAACTGTATACATATACCGACGTATACTTCTTTACAAGAATATCAAGACCGAATTTATTTAATGCTCTAGCCGTTTTTATTAAAATGTATGCTTGAATTGAGAAATTTATTTCTTGCGAAATTATCATCACAACTTCAACAATTTTAAACAGAAAAAGTGTGAAATCGGTTATTTTGATTTGTGCGATAAGATCAGCGTGAACAAAATTTCAATTTGGCTTTTGTTTATCGCGATCGATACGATAAACTTTCCTTTTCACAGAAAAATCCGTTGTCTAACAATGGAACAGTAACGTACCCCAAGCAAGCAGAGACGACCGAAAGACGTGAAAAAGAAAGCAATTCTTCAGAATCAGCCGAAGCGGCCGTGTCGGAGCAATTGGAACAGGGGCGCCGCGCATAGTTTCGACCCTGGCTCGCGGTTCCGCGGAGCGGGGGCGGCGGCGACGAAGTGGAAGGCAACTAGGAGGCACCGACAGTAGCTCCCAGACAGTGACTCCGCGCGTAACGGACATGTAACCGGTGGATAGAGCTCGCAGTGTTATGTCATCGGTGACAATCCCTGGACACTCGGTAGCGGAGCAACAACAATCGCCGCAGGGTCAAGGATAACAGTGTTGTTCAACCTGAAAAATCGAAATCCCCCCCCCTCCCTTGCCCTAGAAAAAAAACCAAGCCACCAAAAAATCTGCGCGAACCACCGGATAAAAAAGCAGCCGCCCGAAGTATCAGCGCGAGCACCCGGAGCGGAGGTGGTCGAAAGTGGAGAAGAATTTGTCGGATAAGAGAGGTGCCGGGATACGGCAGGAACGTCGCAACCACCGCACCAGTTGAAAGAGGGAGGGACAGTGGAGAGACCACGGTGGAGAGAGAAGCGGATGGTTCGAGAGAAGCTCGATGGGTCGAACATACTCAGTGCTGCCAGCCGTAAGCTCGACGGAGTCGACGCCGCAAGCTCGATGCAAATCGACGTTGTAGATGCCCCGATGGAAATCGACAGTCGGTGGTGATCTTCCGCTGCTCCCGCCGCCAGTATCGTGTCACGGTTCGATAGCCGGATGAGCGTCGACGACCTCCGGTATCGACGAACCACCTTGGCGACCACCAGCGGAACTATCTCCGCCGGAACCACGAGCCCCGCTGCGACCGGTGTCGACGAACTCTTGGAACACGTGTGCGGGGTTCTGCTCTCCCATCGCCGGGTCAGATAAGAGCCGGTGGCCAGGTAGAGCAGAGGTGACAACGAAGACGTCGTCGGCAACGACGGGAGCGTCCGCAAAGAATAGAACAGCGTGTGGTCCCCGTGTGTGTCCGGTGCGGCTAGCTCGCGGAAGTGCTGGGTCAACAATGTCAATGCCCCTAAGATCGATCGTTGCTTGCTCGAAACCGACCAGTTTGTTAATGGACGGTGAGAAATTGAGTTCGGGGTGAGCCCGGTACTGCTTCCAGCTAATTACTTAGTCGATGAAGCCGTGCGCCACGAGGATATCGCCGGACGAACGTTCGGAGAATGTAATCGCGATCGAGAGGACTGTCTATTGCGAGCCACGTAGCGTCGATTCTTTATGTACGGGGAATAGTTGAGACGATAGCGGCCGAAGGCACGGTGTCGGTTCATCGACTGGCTGGAGCGAATATTCTACGCGGTTGGAGGGGTGGAAATCGTTGGTAGAAGAAGAGAGAGTCGTCTCGGTGGACGAGTGGCAGAATAATAACAACTCGTTGGATGGAGTGATGAGCGGGGCCCCTGCACGGGGCACAGCGCCCCGTCGTCAAAGACGTCATCATCATCACCACCACCACCACCATCACCACCATCATCATCAGAAACACCAGAAGCAGCAGCCGCGGGAGGAGGAGTCCGAGGACCAGGCGGAGGAGAAACGGCCGAAAGTGAATCCGATCTTCCTGTGGGCCTCTCAACGCGAGCAAAGGATCGTGGAGGTAAGATGCGAGGACTACGACAAGAGGAACCGTATCAAGCTGACGAAGACGGCGCAGGGATGGCGTTCGATACCGAGGACAGCTTCGAACATGTACTCGACACGGTTAGGTGGTTCCTTCCAGAAAACAGCCGGCTCGAGCCCTTCGAACACGTCCGACACAAGCGACGGAAAAGGGGCCGCGAAACAGTCGGAGCACGTGGCGATCAATCTTCAACATATCTCCGCGAAAGAGCTGTCGAACGGACGGCCAAACGGCGTGGTTGCGGCGGACGCTGCCGGCAGGAAGAGGAGTTACGATGAAATTAATCGGAACGGCGAGCATCGGCGAGATTACGGGTTCCAGTTGAATAATTTGCGGAATAATGCGAGAGTCGGTGCAGCGTGGGACGAGAAGCGTCGGAGGGTGCTATGCTCCGATGACGACGAGAAGGAAGACGACGACGAGGACGACGAGGAGGAGGAGGACGAAGAGGACGACGAAGAGGACGACGAGGATGACGAAGAGGACGATGACGAGGAGGAAGACGAGGACGAGGCGGAGGAGGAGAATAGATTCGAGAAAGAGTCGGCGGTTGGACGTGGGAGAAGTAAGCTCGAAAGGCTGCAGAAGGACAAGCTGCTGCAGCCGCGAGTGGTGCTGGAGCAGCTACACTTCTCTCAATTGCCCGAGGGCGTTCATCAGAATATCCTTCAGAGTCAAGGAAACGACGAGAAGGGGCAGAACGAGGATGATGTTATCGCCGCTGAAAAGAAGACGGCGGTGGATTGTGAAAAACGACGGCACATGAACAAGCCGGGCATTCAGGACATACTGAACATGATAGACGCGACTGCCTCGCCGGTTCTAGCTGCCGACACTCCTAGCGCCGATCTACCGGTCGACTCCACGAAAACGTACGAGGTTCTCAACGAGAATCTCCACGTGAAATCGTCGGATAGTAAAATCGGCGACTCGAACTCGATCTTGATGGAGTTGGCGAACAAGACGAACGATCGTCAGTCGAGAACGAACGTGATCTCCGGATATCACCGCAAGGACGCCGACAAGCTCGACGAGAATCTCGCGGATGATAAAATAGAGATACACGAGGAGAAGATTTTGGGAAGCTACGGAGAGAGCGAGGAGGAGAAGAACCGTCAGCTGAAGGAGGACGTGATCATCGTCTCGATAAAGAACTCGGACACGAAGATGTGCAAGGTCGCGGAGGCGGACGGTGGTCTCGAAAGCAGATCAAAGTGTCGATCAAACTCTCGCGTTAAGTATCAAAACAGGGTGTCGATGTACGACGACACGCCTCTGGAAGTGGAGGAGGAGCGGCCGGACGAGCCTGGAGAACCGATCAAACTAGACTATAACGACAGTTCGAAGATTCTGAACGCGCTCAGGAATACTCCGGGTCTCTCGGTGTCTATAACGAGGACCCACGCGTCGGAGGGTTCGAAGAGCAACAACGCGGCCCCGTCGGCGAGGCCAGCCTCGAAAGCGTCGTCGTCGAGCAGATCGCCGGATTCGCAAGCGGAGTGCGTCGAGAGGATGTTGAAAACCGCGGATTCAGCGACGGAGACACAAAGGACCGCCTCCTCTTCGAAAAACCTTCCCGGCTTGTCCATCATCATACCGAGCTACCGCTATAGAAATCCTCACGTGTCGGCGACGCATTCGATCTCGCCGAACATGAAAGCGCGCGTCGAGTCTCCGGAGAGCACTGTGAACTTCGCGAAAACCGAATCGTACCCGGACGAGTCGAAATTGGACGGTTTCCCGCACGAGGAGGAGCACGATGAAAGAGACATGGAGGAGGACGAGGACGACTGCGACTCCCAAGTGCTGGAAGATCTGAGGCGGCAGAAAGCGGACTCGTTAGCCTACGAGTCCGACAGGGATTACTTCCACCGGCAGAACACGGGGAACTCGGACGATCGAAAGACACCTTTAGAGAACACGAAAAACCAGGCCCACTGGATCAGTTCGAGCAGGAACAGCGAGGCTCAAGCGAAATGCAAATATCAGGATGTAGAACATTTTGACGAGCAGGTGCTCGAGGAACTCCGAACCCGTGGCACGGTTGTGTCGCCGCAGCCGAGTGGAATTCCGTGTTCCCCAGCTTCCAGGAGGCCCTCGTCCGCCTACCTCGAGAGGCTGCTGCCTAGTCCTCCTTGTTCGGTGTCCTGTTCGGAAGACGCGAAGAACGACATCACTCTGAAGGGTATCCTGTCGTCGCCGAACCAATTGGAGGCCAGGGAGTACGAGAAGCAGAAGGAGAACTCGAATCGCTGTGATCAAGTACCTAGTGAGCATCACGTTGTGCGGCCGGACCAACTGATGGACATCGAAAGGACTAGCTTGCGGAAGAGGAGCAGGAACCTCCAAGAGCGGACGTCCGTGCACAGCCAGGAGATCCGCAGCTCCGGCAGACCGTTGTCCAGCGGCGATATCCACAGCACGTATCTCGCGGCTGATCGCGGCATCGCGAAGAGGCCGATGTCCGCTGAATGGACGGTCGGCAGGCAGAGGAATCAGCCGAGTCCTTATCAAAAGTTCTGTGGGAAGCATCGAGCGCCGACTTTGGAGGAGGCTTGCGCCACGTCCAGCAGCACGGACAAGCTTCTGGACCCTGCTAGTCAGCTCAGGGAGCTAATCGAGACGTCCGGGCACCTGATACCGGAGCCTCTCTTAGTGCCCAGGGATTACTTGCCAGGCCTCGCCGCGGCGCCAGCTACCGAAATCCCGAAATTGCTGGCGTCCAGGCCGGAGCTCAGACTGCCGGAGGCGCTCGACAGGCCGGACCTCGTCAGGGACCCAGATTTATTGGTGATATCCCTGGCGCATCTTCAACACGTCCTGGACCACGGCGAGGGACCAGTCGCCAGATCGCGGTCGTCCCATCATCCGAGAATCAACAACGGTACTAACAAAGGGTCCGGCCACGCGAGCACCGGACCGAGAAACGCCTCGTTGGCCAGACCGAAACTCAGCTGTAAACCGATCGGCACGCTCATGCCGGCGCCGATCGATCTGTCCAGCAGCCGACGAACCAGTCCCTATCCGCCGTTGCTCAGGGTGCGAAGCGGATTACTCAAGCAGGAACCGGAAGTGAGCTCCACGGCTAATTCGCCCGATGACTCGCAACTCTGGCATCCTCTATTCGGCAGGTAATTCTTACCTTTCTTTGGCTTAGTCGACTATAAGAATGATTGGTTCGTTGCATGCGTATGTTTGTGGTCTGATAATTTCCTAGAGAAACGTATTTTCCAGGGACCCGAAGTAACAGTTATTTCAGACATTTTCGCAAGAAAGATCTGTAATAACGTCGTGTTTAGTATTCAAATTGAAACTGTTAATTGTGAAATTTGAAAGGAATTGTTCAAAAAAGCTAGCGATTAAAAGACTTCGATCTTTTGGCTGCAAGAAACATTTATAATAACCGAAAATCCTTTTTGTTGTTGATCATTGATGACGGAAATTATATTAGTTCTATTCGAATCAGTGTAATTGAAATTCTATTGAAAAATTCTGTTAAACTAAAACTCTGTTAAAAGATTCTACTAAATTAAAATTCTATTAAAAAATTCTATTAATAAGTTTGTTAAGGCGAATTAAATTCAGTTATTCACTGTAGTCATTAAGAATGAAAATTTTATTTTGATCAATAATAACAGTTATCGATGAGGAATATTTACTTTAATTGTTCGTAAAAGTTATAGATAAAATGAAATTTTGTATAATACCAGTATCCATACCAAAGCAGTGTTTTTGTTGCTCATTTTCATTTTCTTGTTCCTTACAATCGATGTAAACAGTTGTTATTTTGCATAAACATTAGTAGTCTCGTTAAGACCAACTCGAACAAATTTCCGTCATCGATAATGATTAAGGGATTTACTTTACGATTATAAAAGTTATGGTCCCTGGTATTTTGTTTCATTGGTTCAATCAGTTATTTTGTATGATCATTCGTTTCTTTACTTTAAATATATTTTATTTTGAATTATAATAAAAGAAGAAGCTATTTCATTATATTAAATTAAATTATAATAAAAGAAGAAGCATTGTTATATAAAATAATTGATTGATTTCATCATATAATCATATATTCCATCATGTAAGACTCGCTCCATTGTGCTTCCCATTATGTAGTATTATCTTCACAAGTTTTCGTCAACATGATTATGTTAGTACTTCACTTTATTTTAAAAAAACTGAACATGTCCATTACAAACGAACAAAGTCTTTCGCTACATTTTAGTTACACTGGATAAAAAGTAAGGCAGGAAATACGTTTAATCGCTGTCAATACCGAAAATCAATAAGTTCTTTTCTCTACGATACATATTAACAATTATAATCAGGCACATATTTGCGTTTATAATGATACTAATGTCATGATGCTATTAAATAGTAATAGTGCTACTTTTAATTCGTATTTCTCAATGGCTTGTTATTTATACTGCTTCATAAGAAAAGCAAGTGACATGAAACAGGATTTGAGAAAACTTTCTTTTTTTCGCGAATCTTGATAATCCATTACACGTGCGCACGTAATTTCGCAACGTCAATCATTTTCTGAAGTTTTTAATGCAACAAAGTTATGCAACCAAATTGCGTGATACTGAAATGGACATTGCTGGCAACAGGAATGTGAGAATGATCTTCATTATTCGACACTCGGACAGCGAAGTTCGGGTCCATTTGAACCCAGAGTGTAAATATTGTTATTTGACTAGTTTCTTCGATTTAGTGTCTCACAGTTAACTTAATTTTTCACAATCTTTCTTTAAACCAAGTATAAATGTGATTCTGTTCTTTCAAGTCCGGCTAGAATTCTGTTTTTTCGTCATCGATAGACCGCGGATTTTATGCAGATTTGCGGTAAAAATGGAGTGGCGAAAGTTAAACTAGCGAAAAGATGAAATGAAATCAAGAATGTTGACACCCCAATTTCGACTTATTAAAATTATTTGTTGTACTTTTGGCTCGTTTGCACAAAGTTCCGCGGTCTGGTTACGGTTTACAAAGAAAAAAAAAATAACTAACGTATCCAGTAAAAAAAGCTACGATGAAACAAATTGCCAAACGGAACGATAATCGATCCAGCGCGTTTGTATTTTCATAAAAGAAAAGGTCCGCTGTTCGAGCGTTAAAAGAGAGAGCTACAGATCCATTATTACCCTATTTCTACAGAAATCGGTTGTATGAATGAATTATGACCCCGGCAAGTAGCTCGGGAAGTACTGGAAATAGCTCCCAACGCGTTCCCATGCTTAAATTCGTAATGCGTAGTACTGATACCTGCAAAAAGGAAATACGTAATTTATACGAAGGACACGAAGTTTCGCGACATCTTGACGGGCACGGTATTAATATAAAACGTGACTTACATCGGCGACGCGAGGCTATATTCCGCCATGGAGGATCCGCGGTGCAACATGTTACCGAGTCGAGTGTCGTTTATTTTATTCAAGACGGAAAAGAACAGTACGCATCGGAAACATTGACCTGCGTGGTGTAGTGAACCACTGCCGGTCGCTTTTCTCCCGTCGAACGCTTTGTCCTAGAGTTTCCCCGGCCGCGGCGTGGCACGCGGCGCGGCACGGCGTGGCGTGGCCTGGCGTGGCGTCTTTCGAATGTGTGCCTACGTGAGCCCGCATTCGAACTTTGAAAACCGCGTTAAGTATATGGCGGTGAACACAGACGGGCAATAATTTGAATGGGTCCAAAGCGTAGGAGTGCTCGCATTGTCTTACGTATTCGCGGGCGAGGCGAAACGGAAGGGAACGGAACGAAACGAAACGAAACGGAACGCGCTTTTCAACTACATTCTTTCTCCCCCGGGGACGTTATTCGATAAAGATAATTATGCACGGTTATTTTATTTACCTTCTGGTATGCAAACGAAGAGAAGAAAATATCGTATGAAATATGTTGGAATGAAATACGTCTGGTTCTGTGCGACGACGACTGTAATTAATGCGAAAGCGAGGGATGCGGAGGGAAGAACGAAAAAGGGAAAAAAACGCCATCATGAAAAGCATATAAAATTGAGAGTCCATGGTTTAACCTCGCTCTCTCTCTCTCTCTCTCTCCTCTCCCTCTCTCTCTCTCTTTCTCTCTCTCTCTCTCTCTCTCACACTCCCCCTCTCTTTTTCTCTCACTCTCTACCTATCTGTCTATCTATCTATCTATCTATCTCCATCTTTGTCTCTTTTCCTCTTCCTGTCTCTATCTCTGTTTCTCTCTTCCTCTGCATCTGCAATCTGCATCTAGAAGCAGAATTAACTTGCAGACGCAACGTTGCCAGTTAAAAGGAAGATGTTCGAGCTAAGCTAGGGACACTCGAAACCATTGTATGTCCGCTGAAAGTCTTTTCATTCAACGGTTCAACGACTATTAGTATTTGAGACGCAGTGAAACATTCAAACGAAATATTCGATCGAAGAGAATATTTTCCGTCGGATTCTGAGAGTTCTTCTCTGCGACCAATGAGAATTTTAATAATGCGTGCAAGAAGGATTAGCCTGAATCTGTACGAATGTACAGTACACTCCTTGGTGAAATGACGAAGTTTCGAAGAAGTTGTGATTAATTTTTCGGGGAATTTTCATGCCACAGGTTCAGAAAACCGATTCTCTGTGTAAATCAAAAGTACGTTTCAAAATTGTGATCTTTAAATTTTTGCGGTGGAGCTCGGAGAGGTAGTAAATTTATACATTTATTACGGTATTATATCGATGATATTAACATTGCTTTCTGTTTATGATATTTTTTTTAACAATACAATGTCAATTTTTCCGACGAAGAAATATCATTCTTCTTTTAAACGTCAGAAGTCGTTCACTTCTGCATGTTCTCGTAGTTCAACAAAATTTCACACTGCACAATAAATAAATAAACACATATGTTTTCTCGTAGCTTAACGATGAATTAATATATTCTGAAAAAATTTGTTTGCATATTGTCAACAGTTTCGAGACAAAATTTCTTAAAAGTCACTTAGTTTCGTAACATTCATATGCATAAAGCTTTTTGCACGAATTGCAAAATATAAGAAATTGCATTGGTATTTGATTCGTGTGTTAATAATTGTAACTGCACAAAATCCACGTGTATTCGGACGACGATTATTACGACTAGATCTTCAACATATTAGAAATTCTAATTTCAAGACATGTCAGAAGGCTGAACGACAATAAATTAAGTTAAAATCAGATGTAACATTTTTCGTTTGCAACATTTTAGCAACACGCGCTACAAATTGTTTTGCGTTGCTAACGCTGTACTAAGTTTCTTTTCATGATTTTAGAATGACACATTCTTGAGAAAATAGTCATTTGTTTTCTGTTCGACGACCTTTTGAACGCGGCGGTAAAAGTGCAATAGCAATTAAACTCGAAAGAAAATTATACGCTGCTTTCATATATGTATATCCTAGGAACGGGCTGGGCATTCTACGAGAAGAAGCCAGTCGTCAGTGTCAACAGTAATTATGAATTGCATTTACAAGACATTGTTGCAATCAATAATTAAATGTGAACGCCTTGTCAGATAGGCATCTCTCAATCAATGACGAAATATTCAGCATACGCGGCTATGCAAATTCCGCGTGTTATTACATATACTCATTGTAAAAACTCTTAATTATCTGCACACGCAGAACTCGGTGTATTGTAATTTTATCGATCACAATATCTATTGAATTTAGATTACGTGTTCTCTGACAATTTTTGAAATATAACGAAGCTTTCACATATTTCATTGCGTTAATAAGTAGACTATGGATATAACTAAAGGACGTAACCCAGAGTACGGATTCAATGTATGTATGACAACAATAAGTGACAGAAATATTAAATGCTAAAAATATTAGAACAATTTAAGGACGCAGTTACATAATTTCCAATTAAATACAAGTTATTACGAAAAGGAATCTATTTAATTTCTATTCTTTTTTTGGAAATTATAGCAAGAAGTTTCTATTTTGCATGGAGATGTTTAAAATATTAATCGTTATAATATTAGAAAATAATTACATTTTTTAATTAAAACCTAATTTAGTTCTCTGTTGCAATATTTTCAATATGTTGAAAACTAATTAGAAAACAAGAATCATACTTCATATTGGATATGTTCAAATTTTGACAACTTTAAAAAAATC